CCCCATATGATTTATGACTGAGTCTATGATTTTATAGACAACCACCCCATATGATTTATGACTGAGTCTATGATTTCATAGACAACCACCCCATATGATTTATGAATGAGTCTATGATTTTATAGACAACCATCCCATATGATGTATGACTGAGTCTATGATTTTATAGGCAACCACCCCATATGATGTATGACTGAGTCTATGATTTCATAGACAAAAACCCCATATGATTTATGACTGAGTCTATGATTTCATAGACAACCACCCCATATGATTTATGACTGAGTCTATGATTTCATAGACAACCACCCCATATGATTTATGACTGAGTCTATGATTTCATAGACAACCACCCCATATGATTTATGACTGAGTCTATGATTTCATAGACAACCACCCCATATGATTTATGACTGAGTCTATGATTTCATAGACAACCACCCCATATGATTTATGACTGAGTCTATGATTTCATAGACAACCACCCCATATGATTTATGACTGAGTCTATGATTTCATAGACAACCACCCCATATGATTTATGACTGAGTCTATGATTTCATAGACAACCACCCCATATGATTTATGACTGAGTCTATGATTTCATAGACAACCACCCCATATGATTTATGACTGAGTCTATGATTTCATAGACAACCACCCCATATGATTTATGACTGAGTCTATGATTTCATAGACAACCACCCCATATGATTTATGACTGAGTCTATGATTTCATAGACAACCACCCCATATGATTTATGACTGAGTCTATGATTTCATAGACAACCACCCCATATGATTTATGACTGAGTCTATGATTTCATAGACAACCACCCCATATGATTTATGACTGAGTCTATGATTTCATAGACAACCACCCCATATGATTTATGACTGAGTCTATGATTTCATAGACAACCACCCCATATGATTTATGACTGAGTCTATGATTTCATAGACAACCACCCCATATGATTTATGACTGAGTCTATGATTTCATAGACAACCACCCCATATGATTTATGACTGAGTCTATGATTTCATAGACAACCACCCCATATGATTTATGACTGAGTCTATGATTTCATAGACAACCACCCCATATGATTTATGACTGAGTCTATGATTTCATAGACAACCACCCCATATGATTTATGACTGAGTCTATGATTTCATAGACAACCACCCCATATGATTTATGACTGAGTCTATGATTTCATAGACAACCACCCCATATGATGTATGACTGAGTCTATGATTTTATAGACAACCACCCCATATGATTTATGACTGAGTCTATGATTTCATAGACAACCACCCCATATGATTTATGACTGAGTCTATGATTTTATAGACAACCACACCATATGATGTATGACTGAGTCTATGATTTTATAGACAACCACCCCATATGATGTATGACTGAGTCTATGATTTTATAGACAACCATCCCATATGGTGTATGATTGAGTCTATGATTTCATGGACAACCATTCTCTTGGGCATATGATTGACTCTATGATGTCAGACAACTACCCCATATGATGTATGATTGAATCTGTGATTACATAGACAACCACTCCATAAAGCTTATGATTGACTCTATGATGTCAGACTACCACCCCATAGGATGTATGATTGAAGCTATGATTTTATAGACAATCACACCATATGATGTATGCTTGAATCTAGGATTTCATAGACAACCATTCCATAGGGCATATGACTGAATCTATGATTTCATAGACAACCACTTCATAGGGTGTATGATTGAATCTATGATTTCATAGACAACCACTTCATAGGGTGTATGATTGAATCTATGATTTCATAGACAACCACTTCATAGGGCGTATGATTGACTCTGTCTTTTTTTTATTTATTTAAATATAATGTCTCTGTCTTACATCATAAAATAAACTTTGTTAGATCTCATACTTATATGGCTGGCTCAGGACAGCCCTGATATGTTTATGTTTTGTTCGTCTAGACCAGGGGTTGGCAACCTGCGGCTCACGAGCCGCATGCTGCTCTTTTGATGTCAAGATGCGGCTCTCCAGTTCCATGCGCAAATATTAATAATGACATCATTTTATTTTCAAAACTCATCAAGTGGCTCTTTAAAAACTGGGAAATTTGGTCTATTGTAACTTTTGGCTCTTCCGTCTCAGAAGGTTTTCCGACCCCTGGTCAAGACCAGTGGTTCTCAACCTTCCTATTGCTGTATCCCTTTAATACAGCGCCTCTTGTTGTGGTGACCCCCAACCATACAATTATTTTCGTTGCCAATTCTTAAATATGGGTTTCCGAAGGCTAGGCGACCCCTTGGCAGGTTGAGAACTGCTGGTCTAGAGGATTGCCACTGACTGATTAACTTTTGTCTAGAAGATTACCATTGACAGATTGACTTTTTTGTCTAGAGGCTTGCCATTGACTGATGACTTATGCTGGTCTAGTTTACTCCAGTAGCCCGTCTCCTTATCAGAAATCAATGATACTAATCTGATAATAATAAGATAAGTGGGCTACGCCAATGTTTATTGGAATCATGAATATTGTGACAGTGTGATGGCTTATAATTGATGTGACGAACATTTTCATGAGTTTATTATTGATATTCGAACATTTTTGATCTATTAAGAATAAAAGATTTTTCCTCCAAACAATTAGTCTGTCTGTCATTATTGTCTCACCAAATCATTAGTCTACATTCTGTCATTATTATTTCCACCAAACCAATAGTTTACATTCTGTCATGATTGTCTCACAAAATCCTTAGTTTACATTTGTATCATTATTGTCTCACCAAACAGTTTAAATTCTGTCATTATTGTCTCACCAAATCATTAGTTTACATTCTGTCATTATTGTCTCACGAAACCATTACTTTACATTCTGTCATTATTGCATCACCAAACCATTACTTTACATTCTGTCATTATTGCCTCACCAAACCATTAGTATACATTCTGTCATTATTGTCTCAACAAATCATTAGTTTAAATCCTGTCGTTATTGTCTCACCAAACCATTACTTTACATTCTGTCATTATTGCCTCACTAAACCATTACTTTACATTCTGTCATTATTGCCTCACCAAACCATTAGTATACATTCTGTCATTATTGTCTCACCAAATCATTAGTTTAAATCCTGTCGTTATTGCCTCACCAAACCATTAGTATACATTCTGTCATTATTTTCTCACCAAATCATTAGTTTAAATCCTGTCGTTATTGCCTCACCAAACCATTAGTATACATTCTGTCATTATTGTCTCACCAAATCATTAGTTTAAATCCTGTCGTTATTGCCTCACCAAACCATTAGTATACATTCTATCATTATTGTCTCACCAAATCATTAGTTTAAATTCTGTCATTATTGTCTCACCAAACCATTAGTTTACATTCTGTCATTTTGGTCTCACCAAACCATTAGTTTACATTCTGTTGTTATTGTCTCACCAACCATTAGTTTACATTCTCTCGTTATTGTCTCACCAAACTATTAGTTTACATTCTGTCGTTATTGTCTCACCAAACCATTAGTTTACATTCTGTTGTTAACATTCTGTTGTTATTGTCTCACCAAACCATTAGTTTACATTCTGTCGTTATTGTCTCACCAAACAATTAGTTTACATTCTGTTGTTATTTTGATGTGTATATTTTCTTGTACACACTTCTAAAACTGTACATAACAACACCATAGATCACATGAATTTACACCCAATCATAACAACATCACAGATCACATGTATGTACACCCAATCACAACATCACAGATCACATGTATGTACACCCAATCATAACAACATCACAAATCACGTGTATGTATGCCCAATCACAACATCACAGATCACATGTATGTACGCCTAATATCTACAACTACACATCAGAATAAAAACACCAGAAGACTGGGTTCAATGAACCTAATGAAATCCTTTTCACGTGCAAGTATTTGTAAATATTTTGTAACTCATAAGACATTGTAAATTATCTGTAATATAAATATTACCAGTATCCTTTTCCATATCCTCAGTCTCATGTCAGAGGCTTGCAAAAATTGTGTTCTTTTCTAAAACAATAAGTTTTAATTTAATGGCATAATTTCATTTTACACACATTTATATAATATTAGTTAACCATCCAGACATTCTTTCTCAACCCCTATTTAGTAGAGACATCTCTGTACACAGACATTGTTTCTCAAGCCCCATATTAAGTAGAGATGTCTCTGTACACAGACATTGTTTCTCAAACACCATAAATAGAAGAGACATCTCTGTACACAGACATTCTTTCTCAACCCCATTAATAGTAGAGATGTCTCTGTACACAGACATTCTTTCTCAACCCCATTAATAGTAGAGACATCTCTGTACACAGACATTCTTTCTCAACCCCATTAATAGTAGAGATGTCTCTGTACACAGACATTCTTTCTCAACCCCATTAATAGTAGAGACATCTCTGTACACAGACATTCTTTCTCAAAAAAAAAATGTAGAACTATTTTTAAACAATTATTTTCTCAGTCCAAAAAAGTATAAGAATTGCTTATAATCTAAAGCAGTGTTTCCCAAAGTGTGGTATGCATACCCCTGGGAGTATGCAAAGAGTGTGGTAGGGGTACGCGCAGCAAAGGAAAAAAAGAACTAAATATTTTGTTTTATTGTTTTCAAAGTACTGGTATATGTAATTTTTGTTTAACGAGAGGTACTCTGTGTTAGGAAAATTATAGATAGGGGTACACAGATTTTTAAAGTTTGGGAAACACTGATCAGAAGTGATATAGTTTGATTTCAAATGTTGTAACACCTTGACCTTGAAAGGCTTATGTGATCTATAAAAACTATGTTGAACAATTTGGTCTTTTAATTTATCTTTTATTGTATCCAAAAATAAGAGTATCAATATCAATTTTTCTGGTCAACATAAATCATAAGATGAATGTTCATAATGAAAGAAGGAACATAATTATGTGTAGATCAGCAGTGGACAGATCACTCTTACATTTCAAAATAAAGCACAACTTGCTAATTTGTTTTGTTACAAATTGAACCCCAGCACAGCTTAATGCAACTTCTGACACCAATGCATCACTTAACCCCAGCACAGCTTAATGCAATTTCTGACACCAATGCATCACTCAACGCACAAAAAGAAAAAAAGACAAATGAAATGTTCATTAAATGAAGCAGCTTCAAAATATGTTGAAAACCTTTTTGTAAAGGTTAAAGTGGAGCAGATTGAGATATAACAGTTGGCTGTTTGGATCACTTTGTACTGCACACAAACAACTACAACCAATGAATTGGAAAGAATGGTTCAACTGTCTAAGCTCTTGAAATGTCCCTTGAACCATTGTTTCACATTGTGCAACCAGCTCTTGAAATGTCCCTTGAACCATTGTTTCACATTGTGCAACCAGCTCTTGAAATGTCCTTTGAACCATTGTTTCACATTGTGCAACCAACTCTTGAAATGTCCCTTGAACCATTCTTTCAAATTGTGCAACCAGCCCATGAAATCTCTTACACCCCTGACCTGAGTGCCTTTTCAGTTGCAGAATTCACTTTATTCCTAGGAAGTTCCAAAACAAATCGCACGTCAAATGAAAAACACTTCCTCTAGAATTTTACTCTCCTCAAGGTCTGACAAACAAACCTCATCATTGCCGTCAAGCAAGCCCGGCCTTCCGTCATCAATGGCATCAATAGTTTGAAGCATGATGTCTAAGCCCTGAAAATCATCCCTGGACGTCACGCGGTGAACACCATGAGGGGACATAACTCTGTCCAGTGTTTCAAAGTCATGATGCTCACTCAGCTGTCTGCCACTGCTGCCGTCCTCATCATCAGACTTAATCCCCCTTAAGCCTCTGTCTTTGTCAGTATTAATTTTTCTACACTTGGCGATTGGTCTCGGGGAAATTTCTGACAAATTTCTCCTCAGCACAAACAAGCTCAAGTGTGGGTCTGCGTCTGCTGGTGGCATTGAATGATTTATTTGACCAGATTTTACACTTGGCTTTTTTGTTGGTGGCAGCTCAGAATGGACGCCGTCACGCGCATGATTTTGATGAACCGATGACCTAGAGATATGTAACAATGACGAAGATTGTTGTGAACAGTTGCTGAGATTGATGTTGGGCTCAGATTTGTGCTTGATATTGCAGGTGTGTCTGCTGTCCAAGTCACTGGTGTCTTCACAGACCTTGTGTCTGTCATCATGGATATCATATCTGTCATCATAGATCTTGTGTCTGTCATCATGGATATCATATCTGTCATCATAGATCTTGTGTCTGTCATCATGGATACCATATCTGTCATCATAGATCTTGTGTTTGTCATCATGGGTATCTTGTATGTCATCATAGCTCTTGTGTTTGTCATCATGGATATCTTGTCTGTCATCATAGATCTTGTGTGTGTCATCGTGGATATCATGTCTGTCATCATAAATCTTGTGTATGTCATCATGGATCTTGTTTCCGTCTGTCTTAATAATATCTTTGACAGGAGAAATTTGATGAGGGTCATCCATTGCGTTAATGATGTCCAGCACAGACAGAGTTATTTCTCTGTTGGAAGAATCAAAGGGAAAAAAAGTTTTGAGGTTTGGTGAGGGCAGAGGCTGGTTATTTGGAGCTGGTTAGATGGGCCTGGTTGGTTGGAAGGGGGCTGGTTGGTTGGAGGGGACTGGTTGGAGGAGACTGGTTAGAGGGGGGCTGGTTGGAGGGGACTGGTTGGAGGGGGCTGGTTGCAGGGAAGGAGGGCTGGTTAGAGGGGACTGTCTGGAGGGGGCTGGTTTCTGGGGCAGGTTGGTTGGAGGGGGCTGGTTAGAGGGGGCTGATTGGAGGGGGCTGGTTGCAGGGGCAAGGTTGGTTGGCGGGGGCTGGTTGCTGGGGCAGGTTGGTTGGAGGAGGCTGGTTGCTGGGGCAGGTTGGTTGGAGGGGGCTGGTTGCTGGGGCAGGTTGGTTGGAGGCGGCTGCTTGCAGGGAGCTGGTTTCATGGGGCTAGTTGGAGGGGGCTGGTTAGAGGTGACTTGTTGAAGAGGACTGATTGCAGGGGGCTGGTTGTTGTTAATTTTACACATTTCAATACAAATTTTACTACACATTTAACTGCACATTTAACTATACATTTCAATACACATTTCATTACACATGGCAGGAGAAATAGATCTTAAAGATTAGAATATATAAATTGATTTTGTTAAATTTTGAACTTGAATTAACAGCTAGTAAACAACAATAATTAAGAGAGAAATTTTTGACATAAATTTTGTCTTCATTTATTTAATTTTAAACAGGTAATTTCAGTACCGTAATTCATTTAGTTTAAGCTAGCGATGACAATAAACAATTTATGCACATGGGTTGTTAATAAATCCCATTGGCTCATTCTGAGATATGATCTCACCAGCCAGCCTACTGGATATACTGACATCATGTCAGCATAGTGGATCTTCTCTGCAACTCTTGTCCCATTATACCTCTCATTCATTTGTCAGCCATTCTGTAGACAAATTACCCCCCCCCCCCCCCAAAATCTTATTTTAAAAACTAAAAAAAAAAAAAATAACCCCCCCCCCCGCTAAATCTTAGTTTAAAAACTAAAAAAAAAAAAAAATTAAAGTTTTCTTAAGTATTCAGCCTGCTCACAATGCCTAGTGCCTAGGCTATTACGTATCAATAAGAGCAGCTGAAACCAGAATCATAGCTTAAAATAAAAAAAAAATGTATAGTGTCTGAGCTACTTAGAATCTGCAGGACCTACATATTTGATCTTCTTACCCGATTGAGTTATAAGTTCTTGAAGGCACATGCTTCTCTTTTGTATTACTGACAACCGACCTTGTACTCTTTGACCTACAAACTTTCCAGTCAGTTTCTGTGGTGTGCTTGTGATACCTGGTCAATCATGTGGAATAGAAATTCACAATAGTTTTGGCGACTTTTCTTAGTGCGCAGTGTTATGAACTACCACTTGGATTTAATCATTTCATCAAATCAATGAGCTATAAGAAAAATGGTTCTTTATTGAACATTGTGCTTGCTTCCTTTCTTCTTTCTTCCTGTGGTCTCACTTACTAGCAAAATGCAAGGTCATTTCGCATACCCACATACGAAAGAAACACAAAACACATAGAAAAAGCTGCACAAATAATCTCCACACCAAAACAGGCACCCATTGAATAAATCATCAAGAATCAGTCAGTAATGGCTTTTAATGTCCTTGTGTGATGTTCAAGTCTTGATGTCTTTGTGTTATGTTCAAATCTTAATGTCATTGTGTGATGTTCATGTCTTAATGTCATTGTGTGATGTTCAAATCTTAATGTCCTTGTGTGATGTTCAAATCTTAATGTCCTTGTGTGATGTTCAAATCTTAATGTCATTGTGTGATGTTCATGTCTTAATGTCATTTTGTGATGTTCAAATCTTAATGTCCTTGTGTGATGTTCAAATCTTAATGTCCTTGTGTGATGTTCAAGTTCTAATGTCATTGTGAGATGTTCAAATTTCTATCATATTTTTTGTATTGTGTTTGCTGACATGAAGTCTTTCAACAAAACATTATTTTGATCCTCCTATATATTCATATAAACTGTCACATTGGCAAGACACTCAAAGAAGTCCCTCCTTGATAAGCCCTTGATAAAACTAATTTTAAAAATTCAATACAACTATTACAATACATTATCTAATTATAATGTGATCAATAGGTCAAGATCTAAAAATAACTTTTCATGATTTTTACAAAACAGACTCAGACACAGAATAAGATGCTATGTTGAGGACACGGCTGTCAGGATGTAATCTTCTCCTATTAATAGACGTCAAGCTAAACCATCATAAACAACTACACACAAAAAAAAAATCCATGTCAGATACACTTTGAAAAATGTTCTTCAATGAGGAGCTCAGAGATTAGCATGAAAAATGTTCTTTAATGAGGAGCTCAGAGATTAGCATGAAAAATGTTCTTCAATGAGGAGCTCAGAGATTAGCATGAAAAATGTTCTTCAATGAGGAGCTCAGAGATTAGCATGAAAAATGTTCTTCAATGAGGAGCTCAGAGATTAGCATGAAAAATGTTCTTCAATGAGGAGCTCAGAGATTTGCATGAAAAATGTTCTTCAATGAGGAGCTCAGAGATTAGCATGAAAAATGTTCTTCAATGAGGAGCTCAGAGATTAGCATGAAAAATGTTCTTCAATGAGGAGCTCAGAGATTAGCATGAAAAGTGTTCTTCAATGAGGAGCTCAGAGATTAACATGAAAAGTGTTTCTGCTGTTTGATTTTGATTGGATGGCATTAAATTTGAACAGAATCGCATTGGTCCCAGATGGACAAACACGGGAGACTTACAGCTGGACTACCACCGATAATAATGACCCACCTTGGTAGGTGACTGTATGAGACGCTGGTGGATGCGTCAGAGTGTTGAGGTGGTGAGGACATGACGTCCCTGTTACCTCCCTTTGGCCTGTCTCTGCTGACGACAGCCTCTGTTGATGCACTGCCGCTGAGGTTGTCCCTAGAAACTCTGGACGAAACCTTCCTACTTGAGGCGTTGCTTTCTGAAATTTTAAAACAACATGAGAATAACTATCCACATGATTGAATGTGTCCTTTATTTAATCTCAATGGAGAATGATTGAATCTGTTGATGCAACAGGAGGGAACATTCATTTCTGAATGAAATTATTTTTCGGTCTTGGACATGAATTTTTTACAAATGAGATTTTTAAAACATGATATACAAGTAAAAAGATACTTCTGTTTGTTGGTTTGTGAAATTTCTATGTAACTTGATGGGCGTAATGTTACAAGGCCAAAATTAGAAAAAAGGGGCTTTTGATTTATTTCAAACTTGATAAATCCTCAATTAATCCATTCCATAATATATGAAGAAGATGGCAGGTTTTCAAGTGGTAAGTACCAGAATAATTTAACAACAGTGAAGATGTGAACACTTTCCATTTGATACTAAATGTGCTGATCTGGATGTCAAGGAAATGAGAATAACTGTTGTTTGTACGAACACTGTTTGTGTTCATGAGTTGTGTCGTGAGAGTGTCTGAATGATCACTGGATGACAGGAACAGAATAATGAACAAGTGTGTGGATACAAGGCGTGAGATCGAGAGTGTGGCAAGAGAGAGAGTTGATTCAGGAGATGGTCATGAGACATTCTTGACTGATAGCTCCAGTGTATTTGGACAGTCTGTGTAGTGATAAGGAGATACTGTAACCAGGTGAACCTGCGTGACAGATAAATGGCATAAAGAAGAACCCTAGTCATTCATAAAGTGTTTGTGTTAGAATATTCGCGGTGTGGCTGGGTATTCATTGATAGACAGTGTTGCAGAGAACCATCGATACCATTGAAAAACATTGCCAGGAAATACTCAAAGATGCTGGACTCGAGTAATAGAGCATTTTGTCACATTTTGACAATCATGTCACAGAGTACACAATATAAGATAAGCAAATGTCACCAACATGTGTCAGACAACTGCATCTAGCTCATGCATGTCACAGAGCACACAATCATGTCACAGGGCACACAATCATGTCACAGGGCACACAATCATGTCACAGGGCACACAATCATGTCACAGGGTACACAATCATGACACAGGGCACACAATCATTTCACAGGGCACACAATCTAAGATATGCCAATTTCACCAACCTGTGTCGGACTGCTGAGAATAGTCCAGTTTTTTCACAACTCTCTCTTTCACTTCACTGACGTACACAACACACTCATCACCATCTTTTCCGTTCAGTTTCATCTCCGACTCGCCGCTAAGTTCAGCATCAGCCTTCAGCACATCACCATTACTTTCAGCACCAAGCAACGGTTGGCCCCTCCTTGTACTCGATGAAACATTTTGCTTGTCATCATCAGGTCTCTGGTCATCTCTTGGTGATGTTTCACTGCTATGATGTCTGGCCGAAATGTTCTGACTTCTGTGCAATTCTTGATCTTTTTTCTTCAAGTCCTGCTCCATCGCTTTCAGTGAACTGTTCATGGTCTAAATAAAATATCAAAGTACATTAACGTGATACAGTAATCACCCCTAAAGAAAGCAAGTAAAAATGCTGTAATATAAATTAAGCTAAACTAAAAACATTGACATTCCAGTGCAAGCATTGCTGTAACAACTTACGATAATTTCTGTACGGTCTTTCTCAGACAACCCGTCTGTCTCATCCATCTTTTTCAAGGCATCCATTTGTTTCATCTGGACAAAAATTAATTAGTCAGGGATGTGCACAACAGAACCCAGCAACTAAAGAACAAGTTGATATAAGCCCAGTAACTATAAAACAAGTTGATATAAGCACAGTAACTATAAGACAAGTTGATATAAGCACAGTAACTATAAGACAAGTTGATATAAGCCCAGTAACTATAAGACAAGTTGATATAAGCCCAGTAACTATAAGACAAGTTGATATAAGCCCAGTAACTATAAGACAAGTTGATATAAGCACAGTAACTATAAGACAAGTTGATATAAGCCCAGTAACTATAAAACAACTTGATATAAGCCCAGTAACTATAAGACAAGTTGATATAAGCCCAGTAACTATAAGACAAGTTGATATAAGCCCAGTAACTATAAGACAAGTTGATATAAGCCCAGTAACTATAAGACAAGTTGATATAAGCCCAGTAACTATAAGACAAGTTAATATAAGCCCAGTAACTACAAAACAAGTTGATATAAGCACAGTAACTACAAGACAAGTTATATAAGCCCAGTAACTACAAGACTAGTTGATATAAGCCCAGTAACTACACAACAAGTTGATATAAGCACAGTAACTACAAGACTAGTTGATATAAGCCCAGTAACTACAAAACAAGTTGATATAAGCACAGTAACTACAAGACAAGTTGATATAAGCACAGTAACTACAAGACAAGTTGATATAAGCACAGTAACTACAAGACAAGTTGATATAAGCACAGCAACTACAAGACAAGTTGATATAAGCACAGTAACTACAAGACAAGTTGATATAAGCACAGGAACTACAAGACAAGTTGATATAAGCACAGTAACTATAAGACAAGTTGATATAAGCACAGCAACTACAAGACAAGTTGATATAAGCACAGTAACTACAAGACATGTTGATATAAGCACAGTAACTACAAAACAAGTTGATATAAGCACAGTAACTACAAGACAAGTTGATATAAGCACAGTAACTACAAAACAAGTTGATATAAGCACAGCAACTACAAGACAAGTTGATATAAGCCCAGTAACTACAAAACAAGTTGATATAAGCACAGCAACTACAAGACAAGTTGATATAAGCACAGTAACTACAAAACAAGTTGATAAAAGCACAGTAACTACAAGACAAGTTGATATAAGCACAGCAACTACAAGACAAGTTGATATAAGCACAGTAACTACAAGACAAGTCACAATATTTGGCAATTAATATAATGTGTGGCCATTAGCAATATATTTGGCCACTAACATTATATTTGGCCATTAACATTATATTTGACAACTAAGATTATATTTGTTCACTAACATTATGACTAAAAGATCTAAGCCCAAGTACCTTGAGCTAGGCCTCCTGTGTTCTATCTAAAGGATCTAACCCAAGTACCTTGAGCTGGGCCTCCTGTGTTCTATCTAAAGGATCTAACCCAAGTACCTTGAGCTGGGCCTCCTGTGTTCTATCTAAAGGATCTAACCCAAGTACCTTGAGCTGGGCCTCCTGTGCTGCCAAGAGTAGCTTCAACCTCTTCTGTTCCTCAAGCAACATGGAGCGTTGTCTGAGGAGTTCTTGTTTTCTTTCTGAAGGGCTCATCTGTACAACAGTTCAAGTTTAAAAGTCATAATCCATCATGGATGGCTCAAGTTTAAAAGTCATAATCCATTATGGATGGCTCAAGTTTAAAATTTATAATCCATCATGGATGGGTCAAGTTTAAAAGTCATACTCCATCATGGATGACTTGATTAAGAAAAGGTTTAAAATTTAAGATATAAACTATAGCTGAATAAAAGTTTTTTTGTTCTTTTGACAAAATATATTTGAATCAATCGCCACAAATTTTGCCCTTCGCCATCCAAGTGCATCTTGTCAACCATTACAGAAGTCCACTTCACCATCCAGGTGCATCTTGTCAACCATTACAGAAGTCCACTTCACCATCCAGGTGCATCTTGTCAACCATTACAGAAGTCCACTTCACCATCCAGGGGCATCTTGTCAACCAGTACAGAAGTCCACTTCACCATCCAGGTGCATCTTGTCAACCATTACAGAAGTCCACTTCACCATCCAGGTGCATCTTGTCAACCATTACAGAAGAAAAAAATGTGAAATTGGCTTTGGAAATGCCTTACTTCTGTATTATCTTTTGCTCTCTCCATCTTATTGTATCTTCTCTCCATCTTATTGTATCTTCTCTCCATCTTATTGTATCTTCTCTCCATCTTATTGTATCTTCTCTCCATCTTATTGTATCTTCTCTCCATCTTATTGTATCTTCTCTCCTTCTTATTGTATCTTCTCTCCATCTTATTGTATCTTCTCTCCATCTTATTGCATCTTCTCTCCATCTTATTGTATCTTCTCTCCATCTTATTGCATCTTCTCTCCATCTTATTGCATCTTCTCTCCATCTTATTGCATCTTCTCTCCATCTTATTGTATCTTCTCTCCATTTCATGCTATGTTCTCCCCATCGTTGTCTCCATCTAAATATCTTTTATAAATTGGTATGGTATGGGACTGTCTGTAGGCCTTTGTTTGAAGGCCAGCGGGTAGGGTGTAGAACTGTCGGTAGGGCTATAGTTTAAAGGCGGGCAGGTAGGGTGCAGGACTGTCGGTAGGTCTATTGTTTAAAGGCCAGCGGTAGGGTGTAGGACTGTCGGTAGGTCTATTGTTTAAAGGCTGGCAGGTTAGGGTGTAGGATTGTCTGTATGCCACTTTATTTATAGAAAATGAGAAGTTAACTATTTTTGGACCCATCGGGTATTTTCTCAAAATACCCTGACCCTGTTTAAAAAAATTGCAACCGGGTAAGCACTTGGGTAAGCACTTGTTTAAATTGCGTCCGGTTAACCACTTGTTTAAATTGCACCCGGTTAACCACTTGTTTAAATTGCACCTGGTTAACCCCTTGTTTAAATTGCACCCGGTTAACCACTTGTTTAAATTGCAGCCGGTTAACCACTTGTTTAAATTGCACCTGGTTAACCCCTTGTTTAAATTGCATCCGGTTAAACACTTGTTTAAATTAAACAAAAGCAACAAAAACCCTGACAATTTTTCATTAGTTAAAAAAATGAATTAATGCTAAGTGCCAAGGTCATGGAATCATGAGTTAATGTTTTCTTGTAGTGAGCTCTTTTGATCAAGATGTGAAGATTGCAGAAAGTTGGGAAAAAAAGGAGAGTCATGGTGGGTCTCATCTCACCACGGTGGGTCTCATCTCACCATGGTGGGTCTCATCTCACCATGGTGGGGCTCATCTCACCACAATAAAACATGCGGAGTTCAAGTCAGCTTAGGATACAAGTCTTGCATGAGTGTGTGTGTAAGTGGGGGAGGGCAGATAGAGGGTGGTTAAATACTTTGTGCGATGTAGGGGGAGTTAGTTCTGTAGTATTGTTCTGCATATAGTGTTTTAATAAATATGACCTATATAGAACAGAAATATTTCAACCAGGCGGATCTTTTGGCAGATTCTGTTTCTATGGCCTGGCCTGTGCTGAATATGATCCTAAAAGTTGTTCAGGATAATCTATATATATATTGATAGGTTGTATTGAAGATGGCACATAGGCAATAAATCTTTATATATATTTATGTATGTATATTTTAACCCAAGTGTGTTCACATGTTGAGTAACATATTCCTACATTCTCCTGAATTGACGTCTTGCAATGCAACATTCCCAATCGTCACATGTCTAGTAATTGATCTACAACATAAGCGTGACGATGAGAGTTCTATAAAGATATATTTTTGGTAATGAAACATAAGATTGACAAAAATTATTATTTAAGCTCTGATATAATTAAAATTTTTGGCTTATCAAATGAAAACCCATTTAAGATATCCGTGGACAAACCTCCAGGTGATGTTGTATGACTTAAAATATTTTTTTGAATTGTACGTTGAAGAAAAAATAATAATAACTTCGACCTCCGTTATAGAGAAAAATAGTGCGAGCAACATCTAGAAATTTACAGGAATTTTTTCCAATATTTGAAACTACCATGAAGTCTACGCTTGAAGCCAAACTATGTTCCTATAAAACCTAAAACTATGTTCCTATAAACAAAACAAACCTTTTTATAACGTCGCAGGAATTCCTGATCTACACCGGCTCGCTCCAGTTTGTCAAATTCTAAGGCCCTTGCCGATCGTCTGCCTGACTTTGACGTGATCAATTGGGATTTGATAGGTTTCTTCCCGTTCTGTTTAGACTGATGAGGGGCAGCTACTCCATCTGTTTTAATCTGACTGCCATCATCGCTGCTGTGGTTATTGTTCCTATCGCATTCCTCTGTGCTGCTCCCCGCCTCCTCCAGTTTGTGTCTTCTCACGACGTCCTGCTGATGGTGGCCAGAAACAAGGGTTGTGTCGACATAATCACCAATCTCAGAGCTCTTCTGTGTGCTGGACATGACGGGTGCATGCAATGGGCCGTAACTCGGAGGTGGCCCTTTCCTATGTTTTTGCCTTGTAAGGTTATCTCCCTTCTTCACATGTGCATCTCTCGCCACTGTTTTCTCCTTACGCCTCACCTGGTCAAAGTTTCTCTCCAAGTCAAGCTTAGAGTGGAGGACCTCTGCTTGACTCTGCATGAATCGACTGATCAGTTCATTTTTTTCTGGAGTCAGTAGGGAAGTGTTGCCAAAGGAGGGGCCATTCTTTAATATTTCCCTGCCGCAATTAAGTGTGCTTGGTGATTGGTTGATTGCAACATCTCCATCATGTGACATATATTTGATATCTTTTATTTGAGGACTGTTGTGGAGCAACCCAGGAGCTGAGTGTTCAATTCTATTGGCTGGAGAATTTTTAAGGGATGCTTGTTTGTTGAGCGGCGACTTGTGAGAAAGAAGAGACGCGGCCAGGATTTGCTTCTGATTGGCTATCTCCTTGTCAATCATAGCAGTGAAAGGTCGTTCTGGCATTGGCCTAGAGCCGTCAATAACTTGAGTCAGGGAATGGGAAGGTATGGCCCGGGTTGAACAGTCATCATCGCTGTCCTGCAATTCATTCATGTAGAAATTCTTTGAGGGTTGATCACAAACGCTCTCAGCTTGCTCTACAACAGCAGATTGTCAAATAGAAAAGGATCTTTAGAGAAACTTGATTGCTCATATCGAAATTTAATGTCAATATTTTAAAAAAGAATTTTGACGAAAATAAAATGTACCGTCATGGTAAAAAGAAACTGAACTAAATCCCCGACATAGCAAGTGTCTAAATTCATTAGAGGATAGAGGTGTTAAATTGTGTTGAATTAATTCAACTGCTCTGATTGAAACTTTAATATTCAAATGAATAGTTCAACTTATTTTGAAATGACAACAATATGAATTGCAGGTGTTCAAAAATAATATATGAAATGTTTAATGACTGCATATGTTAAAGCTGGCATTACTATATCATTTTACTCTTTAGAAACAAACAATAAAAAGGCCTGTTGGGCTGGTCTAAAAAATATGACACGATTAAATACCCAAGCTTGTGTGTGTTGAGGATGTGAAGAAATAATCACATAAATTAAATGGCTTTCATTGCCATTTTGACAGATGATTTTGGAAATGTCCATAATGACGTGATGACTTCATTTAATGATACCAGTATTAAACAGGGTGATCCAATACTGTTCACTAAACAGGACTTGATGGCGTTACTTAAAAAAGTGATTGCAGCCAAGGCCTAGGAGCCAGACAAATTCAGTGGACGGCTTGCTAATATCGGCTCAGTTGGAAATGTATATTTAATTTTTCTTTTTTATTCTATGTGATGGCTGATTTTTACAATAGAGAAATACTTGAGAAGTCATGTGTTTTCTTCTCCATTTTTGGTTACACATTTAATAATTCGTTTAAAACTCATGGAAACTTCAGAAAATATCACAATTCCAAAATAAAATAAAGTCACTTGCATTAACTACATACATACTCTCGCACTAACCTCTATGGTAATGAAATGTTTCGAGAAAACTTTCCTTAGACAAATTTTTCAATGAAGTACAGCAAAAACTTGACCCCCAAAAAATGTTTCTAAATCTGCCACAAGTACTGAGGATGCCATCTTACAATTTTTAGAAAGACTTTACCATCCCCTATCTGCCACAAGTACTGAGGATGCCATCTTACAATTTTTAGAAAGACTTTACCATCCCCTATCTGCCACAAGTACTGAGGATGCCATCTTACAATTTTTAGAAAGACTTTACCATCCCCTATCTGCCACAAGTACTGAGGATGCCATCTTAAAATTATTAGAAAGACTTTACCATCCCCTATCTGCCACAAGTACTGAGGATGCCATCTTACAATTTTTAGAAAGACTTTACCATCCCCTATCTGCCGCAAGTACTGAGGATGCCATCTTACAATTTTTAGAAAGACTTTACCATCCCCTAGACACCGAAAGATATGCTTTTTTGAATGACCAAATATCACTAAATAGAGAAATAAGTACCGTGGCGCCATAAGGGTGTACTCTCTCCCCGTTCCCAATACACCATATAACCTTGATATCACGAGCCCAAGCAATACTATTCCAGTCATTACATTTGCTGATGATACCACCATCGCTGGCTTAATATCTGAAGGGGAAATCTTTAAACAGAAAGACTGCCAAATGATAGTGAAGAGGGTGCACCACCAAAAACCCAGAGGAAAACAGCTCAAAGGCAAACTGGGCTTGGATTTATGGATAGATGATGTGGAGTCCAAGCATGGAAAAGAAAAGCATGAGTTAGATCTGAGTGGAAGGATGTGGTGAGACAGGCCAAAGCACTATCTAGGCTGTAGTGCCACAGGGATGGATGGAAAGCTTAAACCACAACTTAGTTACACGTTTCATAAGTTGTTGCGATGAAATGGTTGTTGATTTCCTAAGGGGTAATCACCATATTGTCGATCCCACAATAAAAAATTAAAGAGTGGAGCAAGTAGAGAAATATAACCACCTAGATATCACCATTAATAAAATAAACTGACAGGGCATGAACACAGAAAAATTATGCTAAAAAATTCCACCAAAGAGTTTCTATCTTAAAAAAAACTGTGCAATTTTGGCTTGAAACGAACAACTATTAAACTTATTCTACAGGGCAACAATTAGAAACCTACTGAACCTCAGTATCACCTGTTGGTGTGGGAATTCATCATCTGATATCAAACAATGATTAAAAACACTAACCAAGAAAGCAAGTATTGTCACACAAACTGAACATCCTTTACTTGAAGAACTATTTCGAAGAAAAATGTTCATCCCACCCTCTCTATCAAGAAAACTTAAATCAGCTCGATCAGGGTGAATTCTTTTCCTTAAAGGGAGCACCAAAAGATATTTATATCAAAAAATTATTCCCCATTCTGTAAGAATTTACCATAATTATCCCCAGCGATTGCCTTACTTAAAATATCACTAATCAAATAATGATTTCACTAAGGGAGATAATTTTACATTTTTTAAAATAAGTGTATGAGGCTGAGGTCCACGTTAGAAAAAAACTTCAGATGTCTTTTGTTTAAATTGTTTTAATTGTTAAATGTTGTCTTGTTTGAAATATTTATTTATTGCGGAAATTGAATATATAAAATGTGATAAAAAAACATTTCGATCTTTTCAGATCACTAAAGAATCTTATCTTATGCTATCAACATTTTTAAAAATAGAAATATACTTATGAAACCAATTTAGAAAAACCCAACACAGCCCTACCTGCTTTCCAAGGACTGAGATCCGCTGAAGCCTGTTCATTATGATGGGAAGTTGGATTCACTGAATGACCAGTAGACAGTCTTCTTCTAGTACCCTGACCTGGTTTTTCTGTTTTATTGACACCTGATGGAGTCTTCTACAAGCAGAGTGTTCATTAAGACATTACATAAAAAGTGTGAGTATCCAATCGCAGCGTGTGCCCAATGACCTTTCTAAACACAGTCACTATGTAATAAATAATAAAAAAACCCACACAAAAATTACACTGGCTATTAATTTGTTCCGTCACCAAAATATTTTAGCCTCAATTAATAGAAAAGTTCAGCACCTATTCGGCTAGGAAATTTTCAGTTAGTATCAAAGAGTTTTTACATTTTATGCGTTTTTATTATCAAGAGTTTTTACATTTTATGATGTGGATAACATATCAAAATTATATACATTTAAAAATAATATGTTTCACAACTCTACAGTTTACACTATCATTAATATTTCACTAAAAGTATAGAGTTCTGTAAAGAAACAAAGTACGAGAACTCAGTTCACATATCCCGTAAACAGTAACTAACTTATTATCCCCACCTGCTCGTTGTCAGCCAAGTTCCTCAGCTGTTGAAATGGTTCCAGTTGCTTTTGTTGTTGTAGCTTCAGTATGCACGTTTGGTATTCCAAGAGTCTCTGCTGAACTTCTGGAGAAAAATATTCATTGTTAGACTAGTAATAAATGAACTTTTGAATATCAACAGTTTGGCAAAGTAAATGACTTTAAAAAAATCAACAGTTACCAGTTAGTCTAGTAAATGATTTTTATGTTATCAACAGTTTGAAAGAGTAAATGACATTCAAAAGAGGTCTTAGAATGCAAACATTTTATACTGGGTGGTAAAGTCAGCTGAAATAATGGAAATGTTTATATCTTTTTTAACTCTTTCGATGCGGAACAACGCACACTGCGTTCATCCGCCATTCTCAAAAGCACGGACCAACACGCTGTGCATTGTTTCAATATCATGTTTGTTTCTTTGCTATTTCTCGGTTAAACCTTTAAGAGCTATCTTTAAATAAGATTTTATTCGAGAAGAGTGGTACTTAATTGTTTATAAGCGAAACCAAGGTTTATTTGTTGTCATTTGAAGCATTATTTTAATGATTTTCTTGGGTTTTTTTCTACTGTTGCTATGGCTACGCTAGGCCCTAGTAAGTTTCCTAGACGATTAACAGCTCAAAAAGCTTTGGAATTGTTTTATACTATTTCTTTTGATAGTGAAGATGATTTATATTTAGATGCATCGCATGATTCCCATAGTAGTAGTTTTAGAGGATTTGAGTTTAGGTCCGCCTATAATCTGTGATGCACCCTCCTTGCCCTGCCTCATTTTCTGGATCGGGTTGATCCTGAAGTATAGGCCAAAACGTGTCAAAGTGTCCTCGTTTTATAGCCATTTTCATTGTTTCTATAGTATAGTAGTTACTATCCTAGTGTCTCATTTTTATTTTACTTAGTTTACATGTTTTTATAATTGTAAAGCGCTTAGAGCTTTATGGTAAGCGCTATATAAAAATGCCTAAATAAATAAATAAATAAATACATCATAGGATTTGGGGAAAAAATGGTTTAGCATAAAATGTTTTCACATTTTATGTTTCTTTTCTGTAACTTATTTTATTTAAACTGAAGAAATAAGTTACAAACATATAGTCATTTCAATTATCTTTCATTTGATACCAAGTGTAGTCTTATAAACCAAAGAATAATATTTTAAATATTTTTTAATAAACCCAACCTCTCACTCTTTTTCGCTCTTCGAAACAAATTAAAAATTTTTTCGATTAAAAAATTCCGCAGCGAAAGAGTTAAGAAACACATATTTAACCACATTTCTTAAATATTAAAAAAAATGAAGTAGATTTTACAAGAGCCTAAAAACTAGGCAACAATTATCTTTCCATTAAGAGCATCTTTCAATCTTGATTTATTTACATTTTATTTATAAGATAATTTTCAACTCTTTGAACAATTTAATGTGCACATCTCACAATCATTCCCCACACACTAAAACAGAGCCAGGTTTTAAATGTTTAAAAAAAAATTACACTTTACCTTCTCTCTCACTTAAAATTTGCTCCTGTTGTTCCACAAGTTTTAGAATCTGTTCCTCATAATGCTGCCTCTCTTCTTGTAGATTTTTCTCAGCACTTTCTTTCTCTTCCCCCAGCCTTAAACAAGATGTCAAGAAAATTATCAATGGCCGTATCAACTTCAAAAGTTTTCCTGCTCAATGATGGCTGCTCAGAACTCCATTATTATTAAAAAAATGGCAATAGATATTCTTATAATTTTTAATTCATATAAGTTTTAA